TCGTTTCAGGGAGAGGAGGATGAACCTCCAGACGAAGCATTGGACATGGGCTGGCCCAGCAGTCCCAGGAAGAGACTCACTTACATTTTGGTCGCACCGATTCTGTTCCCTCTGTGGCTGACGTTACCGGACACGAGGACACCCAAAGGTAAGCCGACATGAAAGGAGGAAGAAACGTTCTAAATTGCACTCTTTCACTCTGATCTGATTCTAAATTTGACAGCTCGACAGAGAGCCGCCCCCCTCGAGGCTCGTCGACCCTTTCAGTCTTCATCTTTTGATTTTTCGTTAAACTAAGAGGAGGGTTGCTCAAACTTGAGATTAATAATTGGTAAAAGTAAGTCGTTTTAGTATTTTTTTTTGACGATTCACTGACGAGATGGCGAGATGACGAGACGATGAAGTGAAATTTTCGAAATATGGGTGTAACTTTATAGATAACTTTCGAGAGTTTATAGAGAGTTAATTTTGAAGAATCGTTTCATATAAATTTCGTTTTATATAAATAGAAAATGTAACTAGAAGTGAAATGTAATGGAATACTAGTGTTAAAAAGCGATGATTTCGGGAAAATACCAACTTTGGAAAATTATCAAGTGAAACCTGAGATAAAGCAAGGTTGGACACTACTTTACTCGATATAATCTTAAAACTTTCTTTAGAACGCATATAATCTATTAGAGTTATTTATAACAGAGTGGTATATTATTACACGGTCTATACACTTTTTAAGGAAACGTTTTGGTGTCAACAACGTAACATTGGAACTTCAATTAGACGGAGTTTAATATCAGTTCGTTGCAAATGAATTCTTTATGAAACATCTAGCTTTCAGTCAGTCTGTATTTCGTTTTTGAACATAGCATTAATCCTGTGTATTAGAATATTGTACAGATAATCATATATACATGTATGATCGATAATAAAATTTATTTACTAATTTATTCATTAGAGATTCAAAGAGCATAACAATGTTCCAATATAATTGAACGAATCAATCAAAGTGTATATATCTCTAGGTGAACGGAGAATTTTTCATTCGTTACATGTTAAATTTTCAGAGTTTTGGTAATTTCAAGCGCCCAAAGGGTCGATCAAATTACGACACGATATAATTGTATTTCGGTTGGCTTTAAGCATTAAATTGACAACAGTACTTTTGAATTTGGATAGATAATCATGTATTTTAGTCATTAAATCGAACGTTTCACGAAACAACACAACAACCTCCTATTATTTCATATATATATATATATA